GGCAATCAACAACCATCACTAATTTATAATCAATGTACAAAAACACCATCTTCATACCATAGTCAACCATATGTTCCATTAACTTTCAAAAGCAATATTCAACAACATTCAGTATTATCTTCGTCAACAGCTATCATTACCTTCTCGTGTGAGTGCTGAGATAACCGACAATTTGGATGATTTGAAACAAAAGTCATTAATCACCCCTACAGCTGACAGCAAACAAATTGATCAAACTTTATTATCATCACCACTAGTACCGTTGTCAATTAGTGATGAAAAGATTTCAGAGCCTCTACTTATCGTACTTGATGAGAGTGATGACGATGACTTGATTGTAGCTGAAAAGGTAGCAAAACAAACTAGCGAAACGACTGAAAAAAATATAAAAACTAAAAAACTTGTTGAGAATACGTTTGATAATTCAACTTGGTCCACTGAACAGTTGAATAATGAACAAACTAGTACTGCACTTGATTTCATCATTAATACGACTTCAACGTCTGTAATAGCGGAAACGATAACGATGGAAAAATTAAGTAAGAAATCAACAACTACCACGAAAAATGTAATTAAAACAGAGCATAACGAAAGTACCAAAAACCAATTACCATTTGAAATAGAGAATAATGATAAATTAAATGATATACACGATAATCTTAACGACACAATAAATCTTGAAATGAATAAACAACAACAAACTACACCAGTTCAGAATCAAAAGAGAAAAAGAAGTAAGCGTTAATGTATTTGATGGAGATAAGAACTAGGTATGCATCGGTATTTACCTGTTACAATTCTGTGTTGAGTTTTATTATAAAAGCTTTCATACTGCAGAATAATCTTTTAAAATTTTTTTGATGATTTAGTCTTGTAGAACACACATTTCTCTTCAGAATAAGGTATAGCGATATTTTCCAATCTGAATTAATACTCAGATAAAAAAATGTTTACTAAACATCCTACGACCGGTATTGATACCGGTACTGGTTAATACCGGCTTAGACCTTTTCATCGAAAATCAATTGTGCTAGAAAGGAGAAAGATGAAGAGTTGCGTCATGTAAAAAGATGTTCGCTCTGTAATACTGAGTTGTCAGAAAACTTTGATAGTTTGTACTTTTCAGTCAATCTGATTCAGAAAAAGAGGAAACTATACCAATAAATACCGGTGCATGGCTAATAAGACCACAATCATCTAGAGGATTATCTTATGACAGATAATTACTGTACTGAGATCTTTGGATAAAATAATAAATGAACTCGGAAAGACGAAATATTTAAGCTCGGTATATTTAATTGGCTTTAAAATGATAGAAATGGGCTCGGTTATAATAAAATTATGTTTTATTTATATAAATGATATATTTGAGCTCGGCAATTAATTTA